ACGAATGCGAGCTCTTGTAAGCTCGCATTTGTGAAATGCGAGCTCGTTATTGAGCTCGCATTCGTGCAAATGCGAGCTCGTTATTGAGCTCGCATTCCACGAATGCGAGCTCTTGTAAGCTCGCATTTGTGAAATGCGAGCTCAATGAGCTCGCATTTCACAAATGCGAAGACCCCCTGACGGAAATTAAACCCAAAATCACCCCTTTTGTAGAATTTTTTTAAAATTCATCACAAAGTTGGAAATTTCTCCAATTCCCTCACTAGCCTACATCAGATAAGGACACTTGAGAAAATGAATAAAACTACGAATCAACTACAGGTTCCAACAAAATTTGCTAATTCTGCATTTCATCAACGGAAGACAGCTTCCAACAAAATAGATTACGATAGGCTAAATCTAATTTTTAATCTCGTTCAGGAAGGCCTATCAACATGTCCATATACAAAATTTGCCCAAAATTCGATATATATATTAGACAAATGCTTCATCAAATGCTTACACAGCCTTACAACCAAATCATAGTCAGACAAAATTAAGGCCAACCATAGCCACCTTACAACTTCATGAACAAAAGGCTAACAACAACTACATACGTTTCTCTAATTCATCTAAACTAACATTTGGAGCCCCAAATCTTTTTTAGCATGTCCTCTTTTCTCGTTGCCAACAAGCACAGCAATTAACAAGCAACCACAACAAACAGCAACAAAAACTAGCAACTTGCTCTTATCTCTTAACTTTCGAATTTCAGCCTTCATCATCTTCTTTTCTTCTTTCAACCTTGCAAGTTCAATCTTCATGAACTGGTTCTCTTGTTCAGCTTTCCTGAGTTCCTTCAAAAGTTTTGCCATTGTATTTTTTGTCATCTCCGGCATTGGTGGATCATACCACAAAAAGTACTTGCAAGCCTTCGGTGACTATAATCAATATCAATACCTCAATTAGATTACCTATTATTGCAAGTTGATCTAAAGCACAAATTACTACTAAATACTCATATCCGATTATACTGCCAAATTTAAAAAATTAATTCCCCTGAAGACAGATTAACAAAATAGAAAAAAATACCCCATAATTCTTGCAGCCGTGGAATCTTCTTCCTGGATTTGACAATGTCCACGAAGTAGCTATTCGACATGGTTCATTACAATCACAAAACACGCTCTCAGATCCATTGTACTCGCCTACCTTCTCTCTCTTCACTCCTGATAAATTTTCACTTTCCTCATCCTTATGATTTGAGTGTTGGAAGCTGCACGAACTTGATGCTCCATTGAAATACTTTTTCCCTTGATGCATCTTACATGTGCTCCTTTGCAGAAACAATTGGGCAACTAAAAATGAGCCCTAATGTCTTCAAACCAGATGCTCGCCCCTTTTTGTAATGATATCTAATTCGTTTCAGTGGATAATTGCAGGAGATTAAGCCAGTGTGACAATTATACCCCTTTGGTCCACGCGAATTGAGTAAAATGTAGTAAAAAGTCCTACATTGAAAGTAAAAAACTAGTTAAGGGACTAAATTGGTTAAAATATTTAATGAAGGACGAAATTGATTTAAGTGAAAATGTTTAGGGACCAATTTGGCAAAATTCCCTAGAAGAAAATCATCATTCTTATTCTTTACTCCAAACGGCAGGCATGGAAAGGGCAAATCTGGATGAATCCCACTCTTTGAAACGAAAAATTGATGAACTAAAAACCCTTCTGAAACTAGAAGGGGTGATTGCAATTGAATTAATGTGGAGGTGAAGAAAAATGGTTTTACCCTCCCTCAAATCAAATGGCGAAAGGTTGCCTGAGTTGAGGTTGCTGCCGGTCGAGACCGACGAACCGGAGTGCCAAGAACAGTGCTGTCAATCAATCAGTGGCCTCCATTATTGTCCGATCTTATATTTATTTTATTTGGGCAAAACGCGAAAGCGAATAAAATTTGGATTCCATTGAGAAAGGGACAAAAATATAAAATAATGCTAGAGAGCAAGCGTTTGAGTCCAATTATTAAAGTTGTTGGATATTTTATGCGCAACGTGGCATTAATTTGTAAGCCTCTTGGGCCTTGGGACCTCTGCCCCTTGGACTAGTGTTAATTATATATGTTTGTTGAAAAAAATAAAAGAAATTTCATTATAATAAAATGCTTATTACACAATTCTAGGTAGGATATAGACAAAGTGTCATGTCAAATTTTATCAACCATCAGCTTGATAAAAGTACCATTGATTTAATATGTTATCTCTCGTTCTCCTGCGTGTATTGATGATGGTGACACGAATGTGAAATTGACACCAACCGGCATTCGTCCACCCTTTTATGCTTCAAACCTGCGCAAGTAACTCTTCCTTGCAGAGTTATAGGAATTCTATCGAGTCCCCTCCCCTCCCCTCCCCTCCCCAGGGATGGGTTAGTTTAGATTATAAAACTTCTATCGTATCGTTAAAAAAAAATAACTCTTTCTAATTAATATATTTAAACAAAAATTTCTAACCTATTTTTTTAAAAGAAATTACATAAGTCAAGAATATCTTGAAGTTCTGTTACAGTGCGGTGTTAGTTTTTTTTTTTTTTTTCGGGAGATCAGATTTTTTCTAATAAAATTAATTTAATATGTTATGTTCAAAATAATTTCTATCTATTTAAACATATGACATCAAAAAAAAATCAAATATTAACTTTAATTACAAATAAATAATTCATATATATATATATATATATATATATATATATATATATATATATTAACTCTCATAATATAAACTAAAATTGTGAAAAAAAATTAGGGAGAGCTAATTTTATTTTACACATATACCATGAATTAAAATTTTCAAAATTTAGGGAGAGTCAACTTTATTTTACACATAATTATATAGCCTTTACCCACCCTATTTCAGGTGATTTTTCTTTTTCCTACTCTTCTTCGCTTGCTGTTGGTTTAATTTTTCCTTTTTTCCTGCTTGCCCATCAATGTATAAAGAAACCTTTGGAAGATCAGAAAACGTGTCTTTTTTATTTATTTATTTATTTGGGTATAGGGGGGGTAAATAGCAGATGTCGCGTTCAACTTGCTTGTTGGAATATCTATCTTAAATTTTGCTCTTTTTTTTTTTTTTGAAGGACTTAAATTTTGCGTTTTGAGACTTTAAACATTTTGCAGCATTTGAGGTTAGTAGTAATGGCTAGTAGTGTGACCTTACTTTTCTATGGGTTTCTAGATTGTTTTACGGACGTCGTAATCAGATGTGATTTTAGAGGGAGATTGCTTTGGACACGTTTGATGTAATGCCTAAATCAAATGACCATTACTAAATAGTAGCACTGCTACTATAATTCTGGAATTGTTACTTAGAGAGTTAGTAGTATTTGCCTACATCAAATGAGATTGTATTGCCTATTTCTTGATTTTAGAGATGTTTGGGCTAATCTGCCATTAATTTTCTATTTAGAGTTTAGTCCAATTGTACTTCATTCTAATTGTAACTCATGGTATTAAGATTTCAATGTCTTTAATTTGAAAGTTTCTTAACTACTTTTTAGTCCTTTTTTGGCTAGTTCGTAGCTGCATTTAAGGCTATTTTTCACTGGTTTTTTGGGCTATTTCTTAATAGCTTTTTATGCTGGATTTCTCTCAACCACTGCTATGAAGTTTTGTGGTTTTTTTTTTGGGGTTTTTGGCAGCTAAGTTATTGATTCTTTTTTTTATTGCTTAACAGACTGGCAATGCTGAACAGGTCTTGTTTGTCTTTGTTGTTGTTTCATTATGGTTAATATGGACGATTTGGCTGTTGTTTGGTTGCTTTTCTTGGTTAGTTTTTAATTGTATTTAAAGATATATTTTTACTTATTTTTTGTGCTGAATTTCTCAATCAATGGGCTGCTTTTTTGACTTTTTTTGCTGCTGTTTTTGCTTCTTCTTTGTTTTTTTTTTTTGATAGCTAACTTGTTGGTTTCTTTTGTTTTTTAATGTTGTTAATGTTGAAGTACTTATGCATCAGAGGCCGACTTGTTGATGAAGTGTTGAAAATACTATTTACATTTAAATCTTGTCGGTGATTTACTATACTTTGATTTCTTGTGTAACAATGGTTGAACATTTTAAGTGTTGGATATTTAGATTTTTATGTATTATAAGTTTATGATTGTATCAGTGAATAATTTGTAGTACTCAAGATCAGGAATATGTGAAAATTGCTTTTATTATGCTCAAATTTTACCAAGAACATGCGGACAAAAAAGTTATTTTCTTGCCCAAATTTCTAGAAAGTCAAACTGATTTTGAGCTCGAGCCAGAAAATCGAGTGAAAATCAAGTTGACTTTAAATTCCTCGAGAGCCAGAATATCGAACAAAACTTAAACTGACGTCTCGAGCTGCCAGCGAGTTAAAAATCGAACTAAACTCACGAGTCAAAAACGAGTCGAACTCGAATTTTTCCTTTTCTCAATTGAATTGAGTTTAAGGTTCATTTTTTAGACCCAACGATCTTGAGGTTGAATTCTAACTCGCAAATTAACAAGTCCAATTTGATCCGGTAAGTTCAAAATTTGATTGGACTACATTCCTTTGTAACTCAATCTTTAAAAGGCCCTGTCACGCGGGAGCAGTAAAAGCTTGACCATAAAATTTCTCAATGGATTCAAAATCGACGTAGATTAGAAGCAAATAGGAACAGCATAACAGCAATGGTTAAAAATTCACATTTCCATTCTCAAGATTAAAATGAGCATTTCATTCCTTTGCAAATTGCAAGTGTATCATACTTGTTAGTACATCAGAATTAAGACATTTGATGCAAAAAGCATGCATCAGTAAAATGAGATGCAGTTTTACAAGAGTAATACAACAAGTAAATCAGATTGTACGTCACAAATTTTAAGCGGTCCAGGACAACAGACCTAGAATTCATAAAAGAAAAGACTTTATTGATGAAAAATGCGTTCATACAGGAATTTTCTGCCTATATAATGGACGAAGTATCAGTCCTCCGGCAAGGAGCAGCAAAAAATGGCAGTAGCATTAGCAGCATGTCTTTGCCTTCTAGTACTCGGGGCCACAACTTCCCAAGCTGGCCACCCAGCTCACCAGCATCCTAAACTAATTAACCCTATCCGCATGATGCCTGAAGCCTCCTCCGGCGAATCTGTCCCCGTATATAATTGCCTGAGTTGGCGTCTGACCGTGGAAACCAACAACAAGCGCAACTGGAGTAATGTCCCGGCAAGATGCGGGTTCTACGTTGCAGACTACATGACTGGCAGGCAATACCGCTATGACTGTGAAGCCGTGGTTGATATTGCCATCAAGTATGTTAAGAGTCTCTCCATACCCACAGATGGCAGGAGCATTTGGATCTTCGACATCGATGACACTGCACTTTCTAACTTGCCCTTCTTCTCCAGGCCGGACGTTTTCTTTGGGTAAGTAACGTTTTTTTTTTTTTTTTTCCCCACCATCTTTAACCTGTGGGTTACTGCGTTATTTTGATATTTTGTGTCATGTCGTTTTAGGGTGAAGACGCTTAACGCGGAGTTGGAGGCTGAGTTTTATGAATTTGTTCTGACGGCGGAAGTACCAGTACTTGCAGCAACTCTGAGGTTGTACCAAGCTATAGTCGAGGCGGGGATTAAGGCTGTCTTCCTGACTGGATCATCAGAACGTTCTGCAGATGCAAGGGCTAAGAATTTGAAGGCAGTTGGATACGACACCTGGGAAGAGCTCATACTCAAGTAATCTTTACTTTCTCCTGCTTCTAGTTCTTTTGCATCGCTAAAGTAAGCAGTAATTATTGCGTCTTGTGAGTAATTGGTTCTTCATTGTGTAGTAGAGGAAAAAGGTACATCAATCAGTCGAAACACCAGGTGGGATCTTGATTATTATTATTACTTTTTTGGGGTTCTGCTCTTTTCGTTTGATGAATGCAACGTGGGATGGAAATCTGAAGTCTGTCGAGGTTACAATTACATGCACCATGAGCTTTTGGCAAATACTACTCTTACTAGTGTTTTATTAGACTAGAATCTGGCAAACAACTCCTGCTTGTCTGCAGAGACTGAAGAACACAGTACTCCTGCTTGGTATTTTAACAGCCACATATTCATTTTAGGACGCGCAATGAATTTATTTTTAACTTTAAATTAGGCTTCTTTTTTTCTTTTTTTTTTTTGAGTCCTGATCCCAGGAGAACTTTGGTTGGTGCACGATCGCAGGCCCGACTCTGTAAACACAACAGTACAAGTTTTCAAATCTCAGGTGAGAAATCGGCTGGTGGTCCAGGGATACAGAATTGAAGGAAACATTGGAGACCAGTGGGCTGATATAGTCGGGTCCAACGTTGGTCGCCGGACTTTCAAGCTACCAAATCCGATGTACTACGGTTACTACTAATTTGGGTGCCGGAGATGCAACCCAATTGAACTTAGGTCCTTGTCAAGCCGATCTTCATGATCATTGATCAGTTTCTCTTAGAATAAATGGGCGTTGTACTAAGCTTGACTCAATCATGTATTAACTCTTGCTTGCCCTGTTCTCGTGTCAATCGACCCTTCGTACTGGAAAGTTTGTGTTTTTCCTAAGCAATAAATGGCTATGCTGTAACACAGCTTGAAATGAAGGCCGACATTTATGGTCCCGTGTAATGCCCTGTGTTCTTTTAACCTGTTGCAGTAAACATCTAGCCTTGTAAAATAAGTGATATGGTATTAGAACACATCATTTGGGCTAATTTCTTAAAACATAGCGGAAAAAATAAAAAATCGGTGAAATGTTGCTCTGACAAACAGGTGTTTTTATACTATACCCACCGTGCTGAATCTGATTCAACACCGTAGGAGCCTCACCTATTTTTTATTTTTTATTTTTTTGGAAAAGGTAAAGGCTAAGCACGCAATCTTACCATTTGCTAAAGCTCTTGCAAAGGCTTCTCAATTGCTAAATTGGAAACAAATTATCCCAAACAAACAAACAAATTCTATTTTTGTTGTGATGTTATCCAAGAGTTTAACTTATTGCTCGAATATTTTGTATTATACATGAAACGTTATCAATAATTATTCCTTTTTTTCACAAAAATAGTTTGAATATTTATATATTAACCATTAACACATTTCTCACATTCTCGTTAGTAAAATTTAAGTACGTAATTTCTCAAAGAATGTTGTCATTTCTTATTAAGCGAGTCAACATGTGTTGACTTCTAATACTTATCGAATGGCTTAGTCCTTATTTGGATTGTTAATTTTTGTGGAAAAATTCTATATTTTTCATGAATATTTCTTTTACATATTTTTTAATTATCTTTTTTATCTCGCATATATTATATCTTTAAAAAAAAGTGTTATATTAATTATTTTCTAAAAAACTCTTCAAGATATGCCATCCAACTGACCTCTTAGTCTAGTTAGATATTGTGAATACACACTAGGTCAGTTGATAAACACCAATCATTTTTTTGTTAAAAAAAAAAATTTGTGACTTATGAACTGACAAACTTGTCTTAAAACGTGGTGGTGAACAAAAGCAAAATAACCCAATCTTTGTTTTATATAAAAATTCTAAATAACTATTTGCTAAATGTTACAAGTAAAGGGGAAAGAAATTACTTACTTGGGAAAAAAATATCTACCCATTTCGCCTGACAGCACGAGGGACTTGGTTCTTTTTTGTTTTGACAAGACTCAGCACGGTAGCCAGCTGGCTTTTGAAAAAAAAAACTATCATGCCGTGCCCAATCAGCACGACAGGTCGGTATAGATTTACACCCCTCCCTTGTCAGAGTTACATTTGGTAGACCCTTTTTTTTTACCAAATAATCTGAGAAATTAGCCCATCATTTGGCTATTAAAAATATTAACCGCTGTTGTCCATATAAAGGTATTAATATTGATTAAGGTACTAATATTACCTGTTAATTTAACTATCTCTGAATCACTTACAAGTATAAATTGTGAATACTAATGGAGTTGACGCAAGGCTAACTTTTGGATAAAGTGAGGAGTGTGTGCGTTTTAGATTTTTTGCTAGGGGGTCAAAATTTTTTCTAACAAAATTATGTTAATATATTATGTTCAAAATAATTTTTATCTATTTAAGTATATGACATCAAAAACCTTCAAATATTAACTTTAATCATAAATGTATGTCTGTTTTATAAATATATAGCACAGTCATACCAAAAATTAAAATAAGAAATAACATTTGATTAAATATCTTATAACATTACAAACCACCCAAATTGTACATTATGAGCAAATGCTCCAATATGTTACTCATGTAATATATATATATATATATATATATATATATATATAACTATGCAATATAAGTATAATTATTTTCAACTAAAAAAAGATAAAAGTTATGTTAATATATATTTGAAATTTTAACCACTTTCTTAAAAGTAAATTGAGCATTATGTTCTTTCGTAGAACTAAATTCATCTACAATCGAATTACTACTAAATTTTAAACCAACTTCCTTTTCTATGTACACAGTTAGGTAATCATTCAAAAAATTATCTTCAATCTTGTTTTAGAGTTTTGTCTTGATTGTTTTCATAATTGAAAATACCTGTTCTATAGTTACAATTGATATAGGAAGAGTGATAATAAGTTTAATCAAATGGGGTAAGTTTTACATTTGTATTTGTTTTAGCCAATTGATGATTGTGAATTAAGCCTTTTTATTATAATATATCAAATAGGGTCAATTTACTATGGATGATCAAATTATACATTTACTTTTTTGAAAGTTAAATAATTAGAACAATAAAAAGATAAATAACTTTTTTGAAGAAAAAAATTAATTCAAAAGTGACTAATTCATATATATATATATATATATATATATATATAAACTTTCATAATATAAACTAAAATTGTAAAACATTATGGGGGACCAATTTTATTTTACACATATATTTACACACGATAAATTAAAAATTTTAAAACGTAGAGAGAGGACCATGGCTCTACTTAACCCTCCCTTGGCTCCGTCATTGGTTTTGTAGTTTTTGTCTTCCAGTCTCAATTGGAAAAATGCAGTGACACTTTGTACCTTTTCCCTTCTTTTTTTTTTTTATGGGAGACTCAAAGCCCTGAAATGAGGCACGATCAAACGAGAGAACTTAATGAAAGGAAGAAAGTGAGGTTGATAATCACCTAGCTAATGCTTTTGTGACACAGTTGGCTAATGACTTTGTAAGTTCAGCTGGATTGTAGGTATAGTTTATACAATTTAATACATAGGGATAGTAACTTTTGTTGGTACAAAAAAGGAATAATTTATTGCCCTTTGAGGAATTTTCTACATAGAAATCGCAATGTTAAACCTAATATATTGTCACATACCTTAAGAAAACTATCAATCAGATTTGTTTCTTCTCCATTAGATAAAAAAGGGCAAATTATCCATTTGGCCCTTGAACTTTTAGTTTAAGTAAAATTAAACCCCTTAACTATTTTTTGGCAATTTTTAGGCCTTAAACTTGTAAAATTGTGCACCCGTGACCCTTTTGGCCAGTTTATCCGATTTTGCAACCCTTTTGACCATTTTGCAACCGGAAAGCTAATTCACACGAATGGCAGTAATTTGAGTGGGAGGACATTTTTGTCTGCATATTCTAAGTAAAAAGGGTCAACTCCTCCTTGTTGTGATGAAGCGCCAAGCAGGGGAACCACCCTAAAAGAGGATTTTTGCAACTGAATGCCTGCGTGTCGAACTGCAACCTCCATGGCCATCTTGACCACGGCCTTCATTGTGTGACTGATTCGTATGGCCTTTGCTCTTGAATTTTGCACCTACGTTCCTACCAATAAAGACTGCAACTTTTACTGTTGTATACAAGCCAACTGCAATTGCTAAAGGCCGCACAGCCTAATGAAAATCCTCAGCATGCTGGTACTTCTCCACTACTCCAGGACATGTATCGAAAGAGACAAGCTCTACTTCTGCTGGATCTGCCAAGAAACTTTTGCATTCTCCCCCAATCACAAGTATTGCTGGGAATTTCACAATGAGGCACCCCAAAGCACAGGGGGGTTTAGTGGGTATTTCTAAACAATGAGGAGGTTTCGTGTCAATTTCCTTAACCATACGAGGATTTTATGTATTTTACCTTTCTTATTTTCATGACGAATTCCAGACTTTGTCTATTTGAGCTTGTGTATATACACCCGGTAGCTTTTAATCCATGTGGTCATTTGTGAAAAATAATTTCGTGAGTTGATTTCTCGTGAACAAACTCAGCCATTAGACTTTTCCTGTGAAAATGAATTTCATGAGCTGGTGCCTTTTGACTTAATATTAGTCAAAAGACATCATCCATCAACTATTCTTTCATGATCTGTGCCCATCATTAATATAAAATAAAGAAACATGTGTCACTCTATTAAGTAGTGACAAAATTTGTAAATTTTCAAAATACTGATGTATACTTACTTTATGGAATGAAAAATGTAATATTTGACGAGTAATAAAGAATATATATATATATATATATATATATATATATATATATATATATATATATATATATATATGTATGCACATATATTTGATTGGTACGTAAAACTATCATTACGAGTCTAGGATTTTTTTCATATAAAAATTTAAGTATTTTGTCATCTTTCTCATCCAAATACACTTAAAATTTACAAGTACATAAAAAAGTATCTTCATATTACAAGAAATGGTAAAACAAAAAAAATTAAAATATTTAATTGGATTATAAATAAATAATTAGTTTTTATTTAATTTATTTAAATCTATTTAATAAATAAATCTAAATAAATTGAATATATTTCATCCACCATCCATTAAATCAAAACTAATTATCAACCATTTATTCATATTTCCTCCTACAGCAATAACTACCCGCAAAACCAATTTTACGGCCGGACAATTGAGACCAGACATGAATGTTCTGGGCCTCCAACCAATTAACCACGTGGTAAACGAGTGGTCCATTTATTAGTGACCAGACACTGTCACTCACATTCGTTACTTGGCCCACATTCATACCCTGCTACAATCATCAACGTGCCGTGTCAGGCAGGAGCCGTAAAAAGCTTTAACCATGAAATTTCTCAATAGATCCAAAATGTACGTAGATTAGAAGCAAATAGGAAGAATAACAGCCGTGGGGAAAAAAAAAAAAAATTCACTGTTCCATTCTCAAGATTAAAATGAGCATTTCATTCCTTTGGAAATTGCAAGTGTATCATACTTGTTAGTACATCAAAATTACGACACTTGATGCATAAAGCATGCATCAGTAAAATGAAATGTAGTTTTACAAGAGTAATAAAAGAAAGTCAGATTGTACGTCTCAAATTTTAAGTGGTCCAGGGTCTGGACAACAGACTTAAAATTCATAAAAGCAAAAAAAAAAAAAAAAATTGATGAAATATGCTTTAATACAGGAAATTTTTGCCTATATAACGGACGAAGTATCAGTCCTCCGGAATGGAGCTGCAAAAAATGGCTGTAGCATTAGTAGCATGTCTTTGCCTTCTAGTATTCGGCGCCACAACTTCCCAAGCTGGCCACCCAGCTCACCCGGATCCTAAACTAATTAACCCTCTCCGCATTATGCCTGAAGCCTCCTCCGGCGACTCTGTCTCCGTAAATAATTGCCTGAGTTGGCGTCTGACCGTGGAAACCAACAACAAGCGCAACTGG